CAGGTGTCACTGCTCTTCATTCTCCTAAAAGTAATGAGTAGGTGTGCTATGATCAACGGCCTCCTACCCTGAGCCAGAGACTTGTAGATTTCTCACTGCTAAAATTGGCTTGAAAGTTGTGGTGGTTCTTGCCTGTATTCCTAGCTATCTGAGAGGCAGAGATTAGGAGGATGGAGATTTGAGGGGTAGAGGATGGAACAGGAGGTAAGGAGATGAGGGTGGGTAGATAGCAAAGACCCCATCTTAGCCAACAAGCCAGATGTGGTATTATGTGTCTGTAGTCCTAGTTATGTGGGAAACCAAAGATAGAAGGATCTTGGTCAGAAGCTAATTCCATGAAAAAACATGATCTTGTATGTGAAACTAACTAAAGGCAAAAAAGGATTGGGAGCTGGGCGCCGGTAGGCTCATACCTATAATCCTAGCTACTCAGGATACTGAGATCTGAGGATCACAGTTCAAAGCCAGCCCAGGTAGAAAAGTCTCATGAGACTCTTATCTCCAATTAACTGGAAGTGGTGCTGTGGGCTCTCAAGTGGTAGAGTGCTAGCCTTGAGCTGAAAAGCTCAGAGACAGAGCCCAGGCCCAGAGTTCAAGACCCACAACCACCACCAACAATGAAAAGGATTGGGAGTATGGCTCCTGAATAGCATTTGCAAGGTTCCGAGTTCAAACCCCAGAACTACAAATAAATACTTAGTGGAATAGGTGACTCCTGGATGTCCTTTCCTCAAGGCTGTTGAGGACGTGCCTAGCCTGGCATTCCTGTCTAGATCTAGCTTGCCTTTTTGCTCCCACAGTCTGTGCCCTCTCTCAAGGCCTTCACTGTATTGCCAGGTTTCCCTTGGGTTTTGTAGAAAAGATTCTGGGGAGGGCAGAATAGTTGATCTTACGTTTTTTGTCAGGAGTACATGATATAGGAACAATAAGCCCAGGCCTGGTTGTAATTGTAACTAAGTTGTTTTAGAATATCCCATGTCCTGATATGACCTCACATAACTATCACTGACATAAATCTGTCCGTTTTTGTCTGCTTTGGTAGGCCTTTTGGCAGGAGGGGCTTTCATATCCTATGTCAGGCTGTATGTGATGTTAGGTGCCTATGGTTCTAGTTATGTGGGCTTGTCCTGTTGTACAAGGTTTGTCACAGGCCAGATAGCTAGTCCTTTTCTTCTACTCCTTGCCACGGTTACTGTGTTGTATCTTAATCCCAAATGGATCTTTAAAGGGAGCTCTGAACCATTAAAAAAAAAAAAGAGCTCAAAAGAAAAGGCCACAAACAAGGGATAGCGTTATATTTAGGGACTTGAGTCTTCAGTGTGTGTTACTGTCTCCTCCCATTTTGGCCTCTGGTTCCTAGGCCTTTTCTCCCTTTCCAGAGTGTTCTGAGCTGGCAAGTTGGATTTTAGTCTTCCTAGCCCTATTGTATACTTCAAGACCAACCACAGTTCTCTTAGACCCAGTGAGGAAAAGTAGGACAAATGGTCTATCAGGGCCTTTGGGTCTGGTGTGTCACCTTTCCTTTTTGAACAAGAAGCTCTCCCTTCATATAGCCCTCAGCATCCATATGCTGAGGAGAGAGCATGACCAGTGGTTGGAGACATTGGTTGTTCCTTGAGGGGGCAGGGGTCCCTCCTGTCAGCCCTCAGTATGGCTATCAAGAAGCTGAGTTCCAAGAGCTTTAACAGAGCACTGCCTCCTCCTAGCATTTCATAGGCGAGTACTTAGAAACCCTCCTAGAACTGTTTCTGTTACATCTTCATTCCACCTGGGTTTCTCACTTCAACTCATTTCAGATTAAAAGTGACATAACCCTGTGACATAAAGCCAGCAACATCTTCTCACAATCCACCCCAGCATAGAACACAATTGAATTTCATTAGTTACTGAGTAGTAGAACTAGTGCAATATATATTTTGTTCATTTGTCTGTATGAAATCTGTTTGTATGGCTATATTATCATTTCTTAACTCCAAGATTGCTTAGCATGAGTATGTGCATTTGTGTGATTCTTTAATTTCAGCTGCCTTAGATGGGGTAAAAGCTGTAAAGGAAGGTAAGTGGTTTGCTATGAATTGTAAGACTTTGGGCTTTGCTGCATACTTGGTGGAAAGAACATACTATTATATTGGTGAACCTGTGTTGTTCATCCATATTCAGTGATGCTAGGTGCTTTTGCCTGTTCTTACTGTAGCTTACAGCAGTGGGAGAGCCTCCCAGCTGAACATCTAGTATAGACTGAGGAGGGGAGAGAGTAACAACAGCAATAGACAGAGGGGGTCTCAGCCATAAGGTTCACAGGAAATGGGGCAATAACTGCAGTGTGGCAAGGTTCTGTAAGGCAAGCCTGTTTCTGTCTGTAGCATTTTATCCTGAGTGAATAATTCACCCATTGACTCAAAATAAGACATTCTAGTTGAAGGTAGCCATGCCTGGAAACTGAGGGGGATTGCTGTGGATGTTTGGCCAATTCCCCTCTCTTTCCTAAAAAGGGTAGAACTGAAACATTCCGGGCTTTCTGTTGCTTTAGCAAAGATGCACATGTACTGCAGTTCTCCCTGAAAATGCCATTGCCAGGGGAGAGCCTTAGCTCTCAAGTCTCTGCTCACAATCATTAGGATTCTACATTTGCTCAATGCAACCAACCAGGAAATGCTTATTCAAGGCAGACACCTCTGGGGAATGCATAACTCATCCACTGATTCCTTGCTCTAGTGGCTTGGCATTTTATAGTAACTCATGTCCTTCAAATAGTGTGTTAAAGCAATTAAAGGACTATTCATCCTTTCTGAGTAACTGGCATTCAAGTAGCCCAGCTCTGTGCATACAGATGTCTGTCTGGAATTGCTAAGTCACTAGAGAGATATGTGGGACCTTGCAAGGAAATGGGATCAGATCTGCCTATAGCAGAGAATGTTACTGTGTATGGTTCCATGTCATCTGTGATACTTGTTTCACATCTCATTGACTGTTATTTGAAGGAAACGATGACCTTTGATTTCTTCAGCTTGTTTTTGTTTTTTAAATCACACAGTACCTGGGTATCATGGTCCCTCTAAGAATATTTGCTCTCTTCACAATGTCCATTCTCCCCTGGTATGAGTAGCTACAGTGTACAGGCTGGGTGTTAAAGTGGATACTAATTGTCTCTTGTCCCTTCCCCCACAGGGCTGTCTGCATTACCTCCACCTCCACCTCCGCCACCTCCACCTCCACCACCAGCAGCTCCCTTGCCTCCTATGGGCACAGAGGCACCTGCTCAGCTCTTGCCCCAGGCTGTGAATGGTGTGAGCAGAGGGGCCTTGCTCAGCTCCATACAGAATTTCCAAAAGGGAACTTTGAGAAAAGCCGAAACCTGTGATCACAGTGCTCCTAAAATTGGCTGACACTTCCTGGCTTCCTGTTTACACTGGAAGAGAAAGGTTCTTTATCCATCCCACTCTTAACCCCTAAAGTTCTCTCTGGATGAGTCCTCCAGGGCCAGTACAGCCACAACATTTTGCAGAGGCATTTGGGTAAGAAGCTTTTCAACAGGGAAATACCCTCCAAGTAGAATAAAGTTGGCTGGCATTGCTGCCTTAAATAATTTGCTCCTTTATGATCACCATATAAAGGAGGCTTAGTCATCCTCTAATGGGCATCTTTTGAGGGCAGTGGCTTATTGGAACAAGTATTTTCACCAGCTGAAGGAAATGGACAGAAAAACAACAGCAATGACAATATTCTGTCACAGCAGTGAAGGCCGTTGTGTTGCAATCCTTTCTACGCCATCAGAAATATTTCTCTCATAGCTCATTTTCTCTACAGCATTTTCTGGTTACTTCTTAGGTAATTCTTATTTCTGCTTCCATTATTTCCCTTCAGCCATTACTACTATAGTCCAAAGCAATTAAGTTGCTGAGTTGGAGAAGCAACTGAATTCATTTTCCCCTCACATCACAGGGGAGGATTTCCTTGGTCACCAGTTCCAAAAGGAGTCCCACTGTGCCTGTTGAACTTTGGGCTGTGAAAGCAACGAGGGACCCATACTTCTTTTTAGTTAGAATGTACTGAAACGGACAACAAAATGTTCATAGCAGAAAAAGCTTCTGCCAGTTAAAGGATCTTAGTCCTCAGCAATTAAATCTAGTTTGGGGCTAGGATGGGAATCATTAGTACAACACAAGTAATTTGGGCACTCATAGAAAGCTATTCTGATTTTTGATTTATCCAAATATATCTTTTAATGATACTCATTTATTAGAAATATCTTTTATTCTGATTTGCTTAAATCTTTAAATAAATTGCACTTTAAAGGATTATAAATAATCCATTTTAAAATTCAAGTACACACATCAGTGTTGGTTACTATGCAGAGAATGTCATTGTGTATAGTTTCATGTAATCTGTGATAAATGTTCAGCTGTATTTTTTATTAAATAAACCGTGTCAAGAAAATGTGTTGTTTGGAGCTTGGCTAGATTGTTCAAATGACAACTTTTTATAGTATCTATTATAAACATAATTGAATCACAGTTTATTTTCCTTCCTCCCTATCCTTTTGTATTTTTATGTCATATTTCCCTCTTAGAGCTAACAATCTGGTCTACTAGATACCACCTGTACACTTCTGGAACTTATTTAAATCTAGCTTACATTTCAACCTCTGTAAAGTGCACTATACAACGTCAGTTTATTGGCAATGGGAAAATACCATTACGGATTTTGCTTTCAAAATTGTGAACAAACTCCCATTCCACGTGTGATGCAGTCTAGGTGATCAGTTCCTGATAGAAACTGTGGAGTGCCAATACCTATTTTGGAAAGCCTCAGAAAAATGAATAAAAACAAGCAGTGGGGGCTTAGTGGTAGCTCAGTGGGTAAAATACTAGCTCAGCATGTATTTGATCCCTAGCACCAAAATAAAATGACATTTGCTTTATTACACCAGCTTATTTTCCATTTGGCATCAATTTTAGAATATTTAATTTCCACCCATGAATAAAAAATACAATTACTCATACTTACGCATTCCTTTATTATCAAAACAATCTAATAGTCAACCTAGATTATACACTTTTAATACATATAAGTTACCATTTTTGAATATACTTTTCATCAGCACCCTGCCACATTCATATCTTGTCCTTCTGGTTAAAGGATAAAATTTTACACTAACCTTACTCAAAAGACAAGACAATTGTAACAGAAAACATGGAGTCTATGACGGGAGACATTTGAACTTAGGAGTACAAAAACACCTGTTTGTTGCTTTAGAGATAACTTTACTTTCTGAATAGTAAGGTCTTACAAGTACAATCCAGATGAAGCTCCAGCCAAGTGTTTTAAATAAATCCCAAGGACTTGATATTCAAGTCCAAGCTAGATATTCAGTGTTTTCTTTATAGCAAATATGATGTCTTTGACTTGAGGTACGGAGTGGTCTTCTAGAATCTTAGCGTAAGGCATTGGAACATCAGCACCAGTGACACGAACAGCAGGAGCATCCAGGAAATTGAATGCAGGTCCTACAAGAAAAAGAAGGCTCATGTGAGAGACAAGGCCGGCGATGACCACTTTCTTCTTGGTGAGAAAGAAAAAGCATAAGGTAAGGAAATCATGGTTATGGGGAATTGTCTAATTTGCTTTTTAAATATTTAGCTAAAGGACAAGTGCCAGACAGACAAGTTGAAAGGTCAAGTATGTTATTTGGCCACCCCTAGGCTTTGATCGCTTTAGTATCTATTCAAGTAAAAGATGTTTTTTATAGCTTGGCTATATTTTAGAACCAGTTTGAAATACCTTCCATGATCCTGGCACAAATTTCAGCTCCTACTCCAAACTGTGGCCAGCCTCCTTCCACAGTTACAAGATGATTTGTCTTCATGACACTGGCTTCTATGGCATCAATGTCCATTGGTCTGATGGTACGCATATTAATTACCTAAACAAATAATATAAGCTTTATAGAACTACTACATCACAAATATGGCCAATCCCAGATGCCACTTTTGTTTCTAGGAAAACAATCTGTCAACAAGTGCTAGACTTTAGATGTAAAAGAAAAGCCAAGCATGATGTGCATGCTTGCAATCCTAGCAGCACTAGGAGCCTGACTCAAAAGGGGCTGTAGGCATTGTTCGAGTCGTAGAGCACTTGCATAGCAAGATATGAAGCCCTAAGTTCAAACCCCAGTACCACGACCAAAAATAAAAAAGAGATTCAGAATCCCCTAAGTGGTTAAGGTTAAACCAATTTGGAAAGCAAACCAGTTCTCCATTTTATGTAGATAATAGAACTGAGTAACAAAGCAGGATGTTAATTATCAATCCATAACAGAACTCAAATTCCTATTTCTGGTTGGTTTTTAAAACAGGGTCTTGCCCTGAAACTCATAATCCTCTTTACCTTAGCTTCCCAAGTGCTGGGATTATAGGTGTGTGCCACTATGTCTGGCTTCTGGATTTCAAAAGTAAAAAAGGTTTTTCTGATTTCTTTTTCATAGGGCCTGAACTTGAGCTGAACTTCAGCTCAAGAATAGTGCTCTACCACTTGAGCCACAGGGCCACTTCCGTTTTTTTCTGCTTATGTGGTGCTGAGGAATGGAACCCAGGGAGTCATGCATGCAAGGCAAGCACTCTACAACTAAGCCACGTTCCCAGCCTCCCTGATTTCTTAAGAAATGTCCACTCACCTCACATTCAATTCCCTCTTTAGATAGTACAGTTGCAGCTTCTAAGCAGTGGCCTACAGGTCTCGAATGGGCAACTACGGTTATATGTGTCCCTGAAAAAAGAAAGATCACAGGATGAAATGAAACTAAAAATGGCGGTCATACATTATAGTCAGCATGGTGCATCCCTGTTAGAACTTCAACTCACATACTCTAGAAGAGCTGACAGATTGTGACAGGCTTCCTAGAAACAAAATACCAATCTACTGGACTGAGTTGAAAAAAATCAGACTCCCCATTCCTAACTTGACCTTTTTTTTCTACTCTAAGTGGCAGTAACTTTTAGATTAAAATTGACCTACACAAAATAGAGTAAGTATAATTAAATGTATACTAAAATTCTCTTACCTTGCCTTTCTATTTTGGCTTTTCCAATGGGAATCAGAAAATCTTTTGACTGAGCTTCTGCAGGAAGTTCAAAGGAAACTCCATACATCAATTCATTCTCTAGCATCACCACTGCAGAACATCATAAAGATTTAAGTAAAATTAGCCATATACAGGAAGACTAAAAATGGACTATACAACATTCATCCTTGTGAAATTTCACTATGTTTATTAGGAAGCCTTGTTTCTTTCATGTCCAATAGCTTAAGGATGGTTTAGGTACTTATAGTTTGGACAATATAACTATTGAGGTTAAGTCAATGTTGTGAGTTTACAGTAAATGTTTCCTTTACCTAACCCCTCTCTTCCCCCTCTCCCCCGGCTAGAAATAAGAACTTCTATATTCTTTACTATCTTAACTATGCCTGTAAATCAGCAGCAATTTAGCTATGTCTAACCATAGCTAGAAGCCTTGGTTCCTCTGTGCAAAGATATCTCAATTTTTAAATGTTCAAGAGACCCAGTTATCACTCTGCTGACCTGGATTGTTATCCCGAATGGCTGATTTAATAAGTCCTTTTGCATCCTCTGAATTCCAGGGGCTGACCACCTTTAAGCCTGGGCAGTGCCCATACCATGCAGCAAAGCACTGTGAGTGTTGGGCAGCCACACCTGCTGAGGCACCATTAGGTCCCCTGAATACTATGGGCACAGGCTGGAGGCCTGCAGACATGTAGTACGTCTTGGCAGCTGAGTTTATAACCTGGTCAATGGCTTGCATAGAGAAATTGAAGGTCATAAATTCACAAATGGGCCGCAACCCAGCCTGTCAAATAAAAAATACTGGTGTTAAGAAGACTAAAAACAGCAACCAAGAGTGGCATAAAAACATTCCTCCAATATTCAAAGTTTTTAAAAGGTCACATAAAAGACATTTCATTACATACCATAGCTGCACCAACTGCAATTCCAGCAAAACCCATCTATAAAGTGAAACAGACATGAAAAATCTATAACAATTAGGGCTATATATACAACACACATGTCCCTCAAAGCTCTGCTTCCTGCTGGAAGGCTCACCTCAGATATCGGAGTGTCTATGATCCTTTTATCTCCATATTTTTTCCACAGGCCTCGGCTAACCTACAATGAAGGGTTGATTTCATTACTTCTAAGGGTATGTCAGGTAAAATGGTTATCTTGGTTTTGCATACCTTTCATCTATTTTGGTTACCTTGTATGCCCCATCATACTGGGCAACTTCTTCTCCAAGCAGAAATACCTTCTCATCTCTTTCCAGCTCCTCATCCATACCTTGATTAATAGCTTCTCGAACTGTCAGCTGTCACAGGTATGGGAAAAAAATAAACTACAGTGTTACTTAGGATACTATTAAGATTGTCTTCTTTTATACTTACCTAGATTGCCCAGACACTAAAGTATTAACACTAAAACAGGCACATCTCTGATTTTAAAGTTATAAGAATCATAAAGCCAACATTCTTGTCACACACAGTCTTTGACTAAATGTTAATGATGGGCTTACTCAGCATTTTCCTTGAAGTATACCCAAGATAAAACTGCTTGCTGGATGAACTAGTTCACAGAATATCCTAAGAAAACACTTTAGTTCAACAGAGAATCTAAGGGGCACAAAACTATACATAGTATGCCTAAGGCAGGCTAAGAATTGAGGGTTGGGAAGGTGGTGGCTCAGTGGTAAGAGTGCTTGCCTCACATGCATGAGGCCCTGGGCTCGATTCCTCAGCACCACATAAGCAGAAAAAGCTGGAAGTGTCGCTGTGGCTCAAGTGGTTAGAGCACTAGCCTTCAGCTTAACAGCACCCAGGCACTGAGTTCAGACCTCATGACCAACCCAAAAAAAAAAA